ATGATGTTTGCACATTTGCACAGTGCACAGATTCCCCTCGGGGTCATTCTGGCAGATGCGCCCTGAGAGATAGTGTGCAGGTGATTCACAGGGGCGCCTTTCAGAATAGCAGAGTGAAGACCTTCCAAGTATCCCCCACCAGCAGGATGGAATGCAAATGAATGGAACATAGCCATTTGTCGCATTAAATTAAAAATCATGGCAGAAGAACATACAAGTTAGAGAAAATTTTGTAGAGTGTGGCATCATCGTTTTAAAATTCAAAAACAAAAAATATAAGAGAGAGAGATTATTCGGGAAGACATATTTGTGTTAAAACGGTTGCATGGTAAAATTCAAGACCACGGTGGATGCTGGTGGGCAGGAGTGGGAATAAGACAAGGGAGGAGTGGATAAATAAATGCAAATCTGTCCGTGGTGTCCAGCTGCCCGCCCTCTGTGCTAGCAGGCCCCGTGGGGTCTCTAAGATCCTCCTGTGTCCTCTGTGGTCCTTAGGGTTTTGGTTTGCAAGGCCCTGGGCATTCGTGTTAAGATATTATATGAAAAAGACAAGGGGCAAACACAGCCGATGATTAGCGACTCTTGCAAACGGGAGCGCACAGGTCCCGTAGAAGAACAACAGAGACTTTTAAAATGAAGCACCCAAGCGGCCAAACAAAATGAAGTTTAGCGCCAGACGTGGCTCCGGACAGGTCACTCTGTGGGGCCTGGTCCAGCGTCACGAGTCTCAGTTTTGTTGGCCTGTGGACCTTGCTGGAGTGCTTACTCACGCTTGCTACGAAAGCAAGAAGGAGAAAACAAAACAGGCGAGGAGATCAAGCAGAGGGCTCAGAGATCAGGGGGAGATAGGGCGAGAGTTCGTCACAGCGGTTGAGATGCCCGCATCCCATTGCAGGATGTCTGGGTTGGAGGCTCTGCTCTGCTTCTGACTCCAGCTTCCTGCTAACCGTGCACCTTCCAAGGCAGCAGGTGCTTAGGTCTCTAGGAGACCCAGACTGAGTTTCAGGCTCCATCTGGGGAGTGAACCCTTGGTTGGGAAATCTCTCTCTCTCTCTCTCTCTCTCCTCTGAGTTTCAAATAAATAAATATATAAAAATTTAAAAAATAGGTGAGGAGAGTGATCAGAGCAGGGAGACTTAACAAGAGGGGGAAAGCTGGAGGGAAGAAAGGGAAGGAAGGAGAGGTGTCATCGCAGCGGGGTGGGGGGAGGCAGCCGCAGGTGCAGTGAGGCACAGCGAAGCCGGGAGAAGGGGGACCATTCGCTGGATTCACCAGCCTCCACGCCAGGCACTGCAACCCTTTCCTCGTCTAACAATCACACTTTTGAAAGCTAGTTTGACCATTCTGATGTTCAGAAAGATGACATGAATCGCTCAGCTGGTAAAAGAAGGATCTAGGGGTCAGCCTGACTCCAAAGTCCTGTTCTTTCTTCCACACTGCACTGGAATGGGGCCGGGGAAACTGCGGATTTGCGGAGGAAGAGGGCAGGCGTGGGGGTGGGGTGGGGGGGTGAGGGTGGGGTGGGGGGGATGGGAAGTGTGGTAAAGATGGTTCTTGCGCTTCCCTCCAGGCTCTCTGCCCCCT